TGGCTGTTCCTCTAGCTCTTAATCTGTATGATCATTAATTTTCTAAGGACTTATAAGTAAATCTGGTGCTGGCAAAAAGGGATGAGATAGAGAGGACGGGGAAAAAAAATAACTTGAGATGTTATGAACATGTACCAATTCCCTACAATGAATGTAATTTAAAACTTTCTTAAAAAGCAAACTGAGACAGAACTCATTGGAAAAAAAAAAAAAAACAGTGATTCCATTAGTTGAATTTCCATAACAAAATACCACAGGGGAGCTGCGTATGGTGGTACACACCTAGCACTTGGGAGGCCGAAGCAGGAAGATGAGTTTAAGACCAACCTGGGTTACATACTGAGTTCAAGACCAATCTGAACTACACAGGGAGACCCCGTCTCCAACAAACAGAACAGAACAAAACAACACAAAAACCTGGTAAGCACAAAGTCCTGAGTTCAGTTCCCAGTTTCAAAACAAAACCACAGTGGGATTAGGATATAGCTTGGTGGTGGAGTGCTTATCTACCATGTACAAGGCTACAGATTCAATCCTTAGCACCACAAAACAAAACAGATCGAGGTTTGGTTTAAATGTTGGTTGTACGTTATATCTATAGTATATTATTAATAGTATTTTGGTTTGCTCAAAGTATCTGTCGCATCTTTTACAGCTTTTTATATCTGTCACACATCACAGAGTATGCTCGTGGAGACTCTTGAGGATAAGTTATCACTACAATAACACTATCTTAGAGCAAGCAGACACTGAGAAGGGCTTAGAAGGAATAAGAATGGCCTTAAATTGCTGGCTTAAGAAGGTGATAAGTACTTGGATGGAAATTCATTGTTCTAGTCTATTTTTGTGTATGTTTGAAATTTTCTGTAATCTGAAAATAAAACCCTGAAAACTGAGTAAAAAAATGTACCAAACTGCATAATAAATGGTAACAACATGCAAAGAAGTAATTTAAGTGACTTTCAACAAGCGAAGAACACACAGTTTTATTGCTTTAGTTCCTCTCCACCCACCTCCTTGAGAAACTCCAGACTGTACAGAAATCAACTGAAGTGGATACCATTAAGAACGGTATAGACACTCCACTGTTGCCAGTGTAACATGAGCTACATTTGAAAACAGCTTTACAGGACTGAAAGGGTTTTGGCCCAGGGCGGACACTGTAGCTGGTAAAGCCAAGGAGCTCCATCTCCCCCACCCCTAGGAATTTACCTATGGCGCCAAACAAAGACCAATGGGCTACCTGTACATCCTAATGCCCCCTTAGGTTCCACCCCAAACCGAGGCTACTTATGTGCTTCACTCCACGTGTTCCCCGGAGCCGACCCCTGGGTGGAGATGCCACACCTCAGGGGATCGGGGGTATCTCTCCCCGCATTCTCAAAATAAAGGTCATTTATATTTCATACTTCTTATCTTTTCAGCCGCCGGTCCCCCACAGTTCTATCAGACAAGGTGTCATTGTATCCAATGGTCTGTTCAAGTTCACTAAAAATAGATGAAGCTAGAAGATAGCAGAAGCTCAAGGGGGTATAAATGAAGTAACAGTCCATAATCAGTCCATAAATCGTGCCATATTCTCCAACCCTTCAGAATACATAGGATTTCAGGGCATGATGGCACACACCTGTAAGACAGTACTTAGGAGGCTGAAGCTTGAGGATCGTGAGTTGAAGGCCAGCCTAGGCTACACTGCGAGTTCAAGGCCAGTTTGGACTACACAGTGAGACCGCTTCAAAAAAAAAAGGAAAGATTATTTCTCCTGAAGTTGCACTGCCATTGGGGCTGAGCATTCCTCAGTGAGCCTGGCGCCAGGCCTGCAGAAAAGGTCACATCCTGTGGCCTTGCCAGTATTGGGGCCGGGTGGCCCCCGCCATGAACATTCCATCACAGGCCTGGAAGAAAAGAAGCCATGCTCTGAGGCCCTGCCACAATCAGGGGAGCACTAGTGTGCTGCTGCCCCACACCTGTCTGCCACCCTGGGAACCTCAGATCAGAGGAACACTGATCTGGTGCCTAGGCCAATCCCCTGCACCGTGATGGGCAGCCCATACAGGAAGTACAGGAAGCACCAGGGACTCAGCAACTAGCTGATTCAGAGGAACACAGGAAAATGTCAAGAGGAAAGAATAAGATACAATCTCAGACCTCCAGCCCACCCAGAAGTCCAGGAGACACAGACACAAAAGAAATTAGAAGTCACCTGAAATTTCTGAACTGATGCCGGGCGTGTTGGCTCACGCCTGTAATCTCAGCACTCAGGAGGCTGAGGTGGGAGGATCGTTGTGAGTTGGAGACCAGCCTGGGCTCCAAAGTGAGCTCAAGGCCAGCCTGAACTGCATAGTGAGACCCAGTCTCAAAAAAAGACAAAAAAAATTTTTTTTCTGAACTAATAGCCACTGAAGTAAAGAAACAACTTAGTGCTAATATTGTTAGATTAACTTTGGATGCCTATATCTGGTAATCCAAGCAACTCTCTAGAGGATAACAATGTGTAATATAGTAACTATTATTGATTTCCTACTGTCTTGTTTTTTCAATCTAATATTGTTCTCATTGTTTCGTTTTGTTTTTTTCTCTTTAAAGTTAAATAAAAAACCTTGTTCACTAAAAATAAGATCCTTTGCACAGAAATTATAAAAGGAGTAAGTACCTCCAAAAAATGTAACAAGAGCCAGGGATTTAGCTCAGTGGCATAAGCACCTATCTGGCAAGCATGGGGTCGTGAGTTTGATCCCCAGTGCCAAAAAAAAAAAGTTTTCACAGGCCATTGTTCATTCATATGGTGAATTTTGTAGGTCTCCAACTGAACCTGATTCTTCCAGCTCTTAACTTGCTTGCCAGCAGAAGCTCTACTGTCTGTAGGAAACTCAGCTCAGCACTCAAGGCTTGTCACTGACAAGCACAGAAAAGGAGCTAAGGTAGGACAAGGAATTTTGCAGGTCCTAGAGACATCTGGAGACACTCGAAAATTTATATGGGACTCTGCCCACTGAGATGCAAGATTACCAAAAAACTTCATCACAGATGTTCATTGGGAGCTCTGTGCCTAACGCCTCCTGCCTTCTCGCCATCCCTAGAAGAGTTCAGGACAGTCTTATCATACTGCCTGTACTCAGGTACAATACATTCCATGCCATGTTGCCTGTACACAAGTCTAGTGGTCTCTGCTGTTTACATGTTTTTTAACATATTTTCAATTTACTGTTTGTATAATCCTTTATTTTTCTACTTATTATACATTTTACTTGCAACTTCCATCTGTCCTGAATTCTTTTGCATTTTTTGAGTATTACTTTAGATTTTAATTGCACATTTAATTTTATGCTTTAATAACATTATCTTAGAGATGGGAAAAATACAGATTGATTGTGTATGGCTCTTTCAAATAGAGCAGGGAGTTCTAGAACTCCAAGATATTTGGATGAAACTTGAGTTTTGGTTTTCTGCCCAAATGTTGTACAGTCTAAAACAATGAGGTCACTGACAGAAACCTCTTACGTGGCAATTTACATGTGCCCACTACTAGAAATGTATTTTAATTTATTCTGTATTTCTTTTTCCATCTAAGAAAGGAAGCACAAATTTATGCAAGCCAGATTACATGACTCCTGAAGTCTTCAAATTTCCTGATTCCCTCTTCTTCCTAGTGAGCTGCCACAGACCAGGCACACTTCTTGCTTCCTTGACCTAACCATTAGCTCTTTCAAGGGGGTCTCACACCATGCTGCCAACAAGGAAGCCTCCTACCCCTCTTCCTGCTGTCTGTGGAGACTGGGGTTTCTTAGATAAGAAAATGGTGAGGGGAAGGATGGATAGGACAGGGATGGTAAGCACTAAGACTAAATCAAGACTTCATGTAGGAAAATAAGACAACTCGTGAGATGGAAAGACCCGTTAACAATGAATCCCTAGACCTCCCTGTGTGGCTGGCAAACTGATCCTGAAGACAATTTCCAAAGTAGAAGGTTCCAGAAACCTGGAGGTAATGCATAATTAAAATTAGGCTCCTAAGGTAAATTAAAAAGATAAGATTTAATTTAGATCTTTTAGTATGTTTATTCAAAAAAACACTATATTTCATACTTAATTACTCTTCAAAAAGAGCTAATAGTGGGCTGGGGATTTAGCTCAGTGGCATAAGCGCCTGCCTTGCGAGCAGGCAGTCGTGAGTTTGATCCCTGGTACCGATAAAAATGAAAAAGACAAAAAAAAAAAAAAAAAAGAGCTAATAGTACAAATAGTTGTAACAGCTTAAACTTAAAAGGAAAAAGGTTTAATTTCCAAATTTAAAGTTGTTTTATTACCACTTAAGCCATAGTTTTTTTAAATTATCAAAAATATTGTGCAGAGCAGTAAGAATGTCAGCTATTTTTTGGTTTTGTTTTGTTTTTTGACAGGGTCTCACTGTGTAGTTCAGGCCATCCCTGAACTCAGTGATTTTGAGTGCTGGAATTGCAGGTGTGCACCACCACACTCTGCTAAGAACATCAGTATAAATGAAGCCTGGTTAATCTTTTTCAGTACTAGGGATCGAACTCACGACCGCCTGTTTGCAAGGCAGGTGCTTATGCTGCTGAGCTAAATCCCCAGCCCCGCCTGGTTAATCTTTGAAAGGAATATGTAGAACCTAAAAATGTCGCATTCCATATAAAGTTAAAACAGAAAAACTTGGTCTTTCCAAACAACGTGATTAATGATGCCTATGCTGGTTATATGGGAAATCTTAGGCAACCCTAAGAACTAAACCTATTATCAATTTTTTTTTTCTTGTAGTGGAAATTGAACTCAGGACCTTGTGCTTGCCAGGCAGGTGCTGTACCACTGAGCTATCTATATCCCCCATCCTAAACCTATTATCAATTTCATAGGAAAACAAAACCACAAACCTTTCTTCCCCAAAGTTACAAAGTCTCATGACACCCTAACTTATGAAATTCACATACAAAGTTAAATTTCTTTGAGCTTATGATTATACACCAATGAAAAAAAACCAAATATTTAAAGTACAAATGTTTTATTTAATACATACTTTTCCTTACCTGAAAGCTTACTGTAATACAAAACAAAATTGCTTTTTTCAATTAATATCTTGTTAAACTTTGTTTTGGCATTTACATACATAGGAAAACATCCTTGTAAGAATCTTAGCGGGGTGTGATGGCACATGCCTCTAATCCCGGCACTCAGGAGGCTGAGGCAGGAGGGTTGCCATGAATTCAAAGAGTCTGGGCTACGTAGCAAATTCAAGGCCAGCCTGCACCTCAAAGTGAGATCTTGTCTTAAAAAAAAAAAAAAGAAAAAAAAAGAAAGTCTTTACTTCTATAATTAATGCAGAGACCCAGATTCAGTAACACTGCTGTGCCTGTTAAAACTGCCAATAAAACCAGGTGTGGTGGCGCATACCTGTAATTCTAGCACTTGGAAGACTGAGGCAGAAGGACTGCTGTGAGTTTGAGGCCATTTGGGCTACAAAGTGAGTTCAAAGTCAGCCTAAACTACAGAGCAAGACCATCTCAAAAGATAAAATAAAAATAAAAATGCGAAATAAAGAATTGGGAAGTACTTGGTGCCAAGGGCCCTGGGTTTAATTGCCAGTACAAGCAAAAATAAAATTTTAAAAAGTGCCAATAAAATAGTGAAAATATTACTGAAATTCATTATATATATGTTTGTTTTGTTTTTTGACACCAGGAATCAAACTCACAATCTCTGGCTTGCCAGGCATGCGCTTATACTGCTGAGCTAAATCCCTGACCCCAGTTTATATTACATAAACCACATTTCCTCAATTATGCAGATGTTATTAGAGATGGAAGGAAAAAATCATAACTTTTGTCCCGTAGAAACTTTGATTTTTTATTTATTTATATTTGGTACCGGGGAAGGAACTCACAACCTCATGCTTGCCAGGCAGGCGCTTATACCGCTGAGCTAAATTCCCGGCCCCTGTAGAAACTTTTTAGTATTTTTGTTTTTGGTTCTTATTTGAGACTGAGGCTTACTGTGTTGCCCCGGCTGATTGTGAGCTCTTAGACCCAAGTGATCTTTCCACCTCAGCAAGGACTACGGGCACCACAGACTTTAATAACCTACCAGTGTAATAAGCATTTATTTTACATTCAACTTATATATTTATCATAAAAACCAGAAATGGTACCTAGTTTGCCCTGACTCATTATTTAATTTATACTGACTTTCCAAGCTCTATGCTATATTATCTGTAGTTCAATTTTTTTGTGTTTTTAAAAGAAATTTATCACAGCCAAGACATGATTGGCACTGACATTTTTTTCTGACAGGACTGTACACTTGAGCATTCAAATAGTGGACTTCGCACCATGAGTTCTCTGCTATTTAACAGATTCATCTGGTATTTAAGGCTGTTGTATTCATAAATACTAAGTATGCATTTTTTGATGTACAATAAGATTTGACTTCTGGGAAAATGCTCTCCGACATATGTTACATTCATAGGGCTTCTCTCCTGTATGAGTTACCTGATGTCTAAGGAGATGAGACTTCTTGATGAAGGCTTTGCCACATTCAATACATCCGTAAGGTTTCTCTCCTGTATGAATTCTTTGATGTGTAACAAGTACAGATGTGTTGCCAAAGGCCTTGCCACACACGACACATCGGTAGGGTTTCTCTCCTGTGTGACTTCTAGAATGCTTATAGAGGGATGAACTATACTTGAAGGTTTTCCCACATTCCTTACATTCAAACGGGTTCTCAAGCATATGAGACTTCACATGTTGATTAAAAGAAGAGCTCCAAATGAATGTTTTCCCACACTGACTGCACTTATAAGGTTTTTCTCCAGTGTGAAGTCTTTTGTGGTTCACAAGGTAGGATTTCTGTGTAAAAGCTTTCCCACACTCAGGGCATCTATAGGGTCTCTCTCCACTATGCATTTTCTGATGAGCTATGAGGTATGCCTTCCTACTATAAGCTTTCCCACAGACATTACATTCTAAGGACTTTTTTCTTGTGTGACTTGTTTCATGTCTAATGAAATGAAACTTCTTTTTGAAGGCTTTCCCACATTCATTGCATTCACAGGAGTTTTCTCCAGTGTAACTTCTATTATAATCAAGTAAGTGTAAATTAGGTTCCAAATTCTTCCCATATGATTTACGTTTATGTGACTTTTTTCTTGTTGGATTAAGATTTGTGCTCCTATTATAAAGGTGGAGTTTCTCCATATTCAGAATTCTATTGAACGTGAACAAAACCGACTTCAAAAAATTGTCTTTGCTTTCCTGCCGCTTCTCTGGTTCATCAAGTAGACAGTCAGCTTCTAAAAAGGAGTACAATAAAACATTCCTAGTTATTTTTTCCCCTCCAACGTGTTACAGACAGAAAAGTCTGTGGTTTCAAATCAAGTCTCTTATTCTGAAATAAACCCTAAATTTATTTTGGTGTTCTTGAACTTTAAGAAGAAAACTGCTAAGAAGGCAATGGAGGCAAATGAATAATAAAAGAACAGATGATTTAACATGATCTGTAGAAAGTCAATAAAATAAGCTCAAGGAACAGTAAATAAAATACAGAAGTCAAAACACTGAAATAAGGGTACAAGATTAAGTCACAGAATAAAGAGGGCCACTTTGGAGCTCTGGTTAATGGCTAAAGTCACAAGGGGAAGAGGAGACAGAGGAGCTCTGGGCAAGACTAGGTTTGGAGGAGGCAGAAAAGAGGCAGAGTCTTCTCTACAAATTCTTAATTACCCTGGACAAATAGTTCCCTATTTCTCTCGTTTCTTTTTCCTTCTAGTCATCCTGCAGAATACCAATTTCCTTTAAGAGATTCCTGAATCTCCGTTCTCTAGATGAGACGTCCAGATGAGGCGTATCTGGAGCTCGTCTCCAACTCTCCCAACAGTTCACATTCATTCTGCGTGTACTTGTAAGCCTAGGAGTGTATGAGCTCCAGCAGGTCATGCATAGGCAAGTCATTCTTAGTCCAGTCATAGATTTGCTAACATTTTGATTCTGGCTGTGTTTCTGTGTATGATAAATTATCTGTTGCATCTGTATTGAGAATATTAGATACTCTTTCAGTCTGCCTGATAAACTAGTCTCTGGAAAGCTGTTTTACTCCTTATTTATTTTGCTCCTATCCTCAAAATCTTATATATCTCAAATCTATGACTTCATTTTAAAAAATGGGGGAGGAAGGATCATCATTCTCCACTCTGGAGTTTCCCTCCATGTGGAATGTTAGTACAGTACACCACTGCCAACTTCTCGCTCTGTATCTTACTGTACTGAGTGGTAGGCAGTAGGCCTCAGTATAAATTCACTATACAGTGGCTCTAGTGTGGGGATTCACTTCTTTCTTTTCTAGTAAAACCAATGGGAAGTAACTACAAACAATAACCAACTGGAAAATCTAGGGTAATTTGCCAGGTATACAAAAATGCAAGATATGAATTCACTTATGGGATCTAAGCATGCATTTCACTAGTCCTCAGTATTGTCTATTCCACAGATTCTAGACCTCTCTGTAGATGTTCAACTTACAGCTTACATATCCTAATAAACTCTTTGTAAGTTGAAAATATTATTAAAGTTAAAACACATTTAATATTTTTAATCTACCAAACATTTTAGATAATAACACAGTGCACGGTAGAATACCGGTTGTTTACCCTTATGCTCCTATGACTGACTGGGAGCTGTGGCCCATTACTGCCACCCAGCATCTTGGCCAAATACCATATATTGCCAGCCCCGAAGACATCAAAATTCAAAATATGACATAATTTCCAAATGCATTATCACTTTTTGCACTGCTAAGCCTCATCCATTTGGAAGGTGACTGGATTATGGGGCATTAGCTAACTTATTGTTGGGAGATAGAGCCTGGTCAGATAAGGGGGGTTCTTAGGGGTGTGACCCGGGAGGGTAGGTTTCCCTTCCTGGCCTCTCCCTTCACTCTGCTTCCTGGGCACCATGAAGTGAGCAGCTTTTCTTCTACTATGTCCCTGTGCCAGGCCATTCTGCCCTGGAGCCTGCTGACCTACCACACTGTAGCGGAGAAACAAACAAAGTCTCAGGGTATTAGTCAACAATGGTTTCATGATTTGATGGAATCACTGGGAGGCGATGGAAATTTGGGAAGTAGGGCTTGGTTGAAGAGAGTAGGTCATGGATGTGTGACCTTGAAGACTGTACAAATACCTTATTGCTACCCTTCCTCTCAGGCTCTGGCTCTCTCCCTAGCTGCTCCCCAGCTGCTATGAGGGAAGACTTTCCTCTGCTATGTTCTGCATATTTCTGCCTTATCACAGGTCTAACAGCAGTGGAGCCAGGTCATCAAAGACTGAAACCCAGAGCCAAGTAAGTCTCTCCTCCTTTAAGCTGTTTTTCTCAGGTATTTTGTCACAGTTATAGAAAGCTGATTAACACAGTCACTTGCCTATACCATTCATTTTGATGATATTAACTAGAACAAAACTGCATTTTTTATTGGGCAAGAAATAAATGTTTTATACTCATCAAATTTTACAATATTTTAAATGTTTTGTGCTTCCAGTTACATTTTTATATTAGCAAATGGTAATGAGTTTTTGCTTTCTTTGAATCTTTCTCAGGAACATTTTATTGTTAAATTTTCATTTTAAAGAGAATACAACCAAGCAAAGTAAAATAGAATAAAGCTAATCAAAATAGAATAAAGCTAATCAAGCAGGAAAAAATTTTAAAAGTGTAGTATGGGAAAAAAATAAATATGACCCATGATGCCTGGCTCTACAATAGTGAATTAATGAAATATTTATTAAAACAAATTATACAGTTCTTTCTTTAGGATACTATCATAAAGACTATATCTTAGAAGCCACAAGGTTGTTTTGTTTTTTTTTCTTTTTTAAGTCCAAGACAGAATATGTCAAGTCGTCAGGAGTTCAAGAAGGCAGAAATTGATACAGGGTTTTATGAAAGGGGGAAAAAAATTGACCTCAAACTTAATAGCATACTGGCTTTAAGGTAGAGTTCACCAGAATTAAAAGGACTGATACAGAAAAAGAAAACTGTCTATAAAGGATATAAGAGAGCCCAATTCTCATAGAATAGGGAAAGGATAGCTGTTTCTTGTTTTGTTTTTAAGATAAGTTCTTTGTTTGTTTGTTTTAAGACAGGGCTTCACTGTGTTGGTCAGGATGGCCTTGGTAGCCCAGGCTGGCCTTGAACCTGTAGCAATCCTCCTGCTTCAGCCTCCCAAGTGCTGGAATTATAGGCATGCACCACTACGCTTGGCAAGACAGATAATTTTAAATAAGCAAAACAGAACCACGTTAGAGGGCACTAGAAAACATCTGAATAATCACAATAAAGGTTAAAGGACTGACTTACATTTTTTGGGATAGAGATAAAATGAAATAATTTGGTTAAGTCATGGAGTAACATCTAAGATAAACAAGAAAAAAATGGAAATACGAAAAATGTAAATACAAACAGCCCAGATACAATATCAGTAATTAAAATTCACTTGGTTTAAGGCCAGGATGATGACACATAATCCCAGCACCCTGGAGACTGAGACAGGAAGATCACAAATTCAAGTCTGGTTTAATTTACACAGCAAATTCAAGGTCAACCTGGACTACACAGACTACATAATGAGACCATCTGAAAAAGCAAAGAAAACAAAAATCACTTGGTTTGTGTCACAAGATATGGTTCTAAGGAACTGGTGTCTGAATCATTTGAAAATGAAAATTTTGTGGAAAATGAAATTTTCTGTTGAGTCAATGTTAGATAAGTGAATAGCTAAACTCATATAGGCCATAAAGTTATATACCATTTCAAGTGAAACTACTGGGAGAAAAAACTGCCTACTGAGATGACTCTAACACTACGAGGTCCACCCAAAAAATGTATACATACTTTAGGAAAATAGTGTGGGTTTTTTTTTAACAGATGATGTTACCCTCATATAGAGGACCCTACAGGATGTCATATATCACAGAAAACCCACTACAGTACCAGTTGTTCGAGAAGAAATTGAAAACTCATGCACAGTAGTCTCAAGGGACCAAAGTTAGCAAGCAGCAATTCACTGTACTACCAAACATCTGGAAGCTAGTGACTCCTTTGAGCACCTCTTGCAATTGTAGAGGCTAAAGATAACTTGTATTAATCTGATAATATCTTAATAAGTTGAGTATTAAAATATTTATACAAGTTTTTCTTTTCCTGATGTGTGCATACGTTTTTTAGCGGGCTCAGTATGAAGTATTATTCCTGCAGAGCGGTCATGCTAATCTTTATCAGTCCAGTTTTAATATGTGCTGCCAAAGTGAACACAGCCATTACTTTATTACTCTTTCCTGTATAAAGCACTGACCAGTCATGCTTCTTTATTACAATATAAAATAGGAAGGTTTAGGGCTGGGGATTTAACTCAGCGGCGTAAGTGCCTGCCCTGCAAGCGTGCAGTTGTGAGTTCGATCCCCCACCAAAAAAAAAAAAAAAAAAAAAGTTTAAAGAATTTTAAAAATTAGTTACTATAAAAAGACTGAAAAACTGAAAATATACATATATATGTAAATTTTTTTTTTGCAACAGGGTTTTTGCTATGCACTGTAGACTAGCCCTAAACTCACTTTGTAGCCCAGGCTGGCCTCAAACTCACAGCAATCCTCCTGCTGTGGCCTCCCAAGTGCTGGGATTCCGGCACACACCACCAGACTTGGCTTGCATAAAACTTATGGGAATGGAAAGTTGCTAAGGTAAAGGTGCTGGAGATGGAGTGATGATCCATCTGAGGGAGCTACTGTGGAGAGGAGAAGACAGTAGAGGAGGCAAAAAGAGATGAGTACATGATCAGAAGATGGGTTAGCTAGCAAACAACCCAAAGTGAGGTAAAGAATTTCAAAAGATATCAATCAGTGTTACCAAGTGATACACTAGAACATACCCATATTATCAATGAAACTAAAGATAAACAAGATAAGTGTAGTGATTCTTGTAGGTTTATGTTGCCTCAGCTTCATTTTGAATGTAAGTTTAACTTACATTCTGGTCAATTACATGACCGGAAGCAGGGCTCAGTCATTCTTGACAGTTTCCAGTGCTATACCCCTTCCACTGTCCAGTTCCTCTCGATTCGTATTTCCATTGTATACAACAGTGTTCTCTGGTGATCACTTAATTCTCTGTAGTACAGACATAGCCGACTTGACTGGGCCGGTGATCTTCAAACCCTACAGGAACTAGCAGATATGTCCCAGTAAGCACCTCTCAGTCACCGTGTGACCTCCAGGTACTTGTGCTTCCATGCTTTAAAACCACCTAATAAGCTGGGCATGGTGGTGCACACCTGCAATCTCAGCACTTGAGAGGCTGAGGCAGGAGGATCGCTGTGAGTTTGAGGCCAGCCTGGGCTACAAAGTGAGTGTAAGTCCAGCCTGAACTGCATAATGAAACTCTGTGTCAAAAGACCAAAACAGTCAGGCCTGTAATCCCAGCACTCAGGAGGCTGAGGCAGGAGAATCGTTGCGAGTTCAAGACCAGCCTAGGCTATAAAGTGAGCTCAAGGCCAGCCTGAACCGCATGGAGAGACCCTGTCTCAAAAAAGAAAAAAAAAAAGACCAAAACAAAAAAACACACAGTAAACCTCCTCATCCAAGGTGTTTGAATAACACCTTAGACCCAATTAGAGCACTGGACAATGGGTCCCTCTCTCAGTCCCTCAATGTGTGTCCTCCAATCAATGCAGAGTAACCTCCAGGACCAATGAGTAATAAAATCTTTATTGCCACTTGACTCTCCCAGTCACTGCAGGGGTACTCAAGTTCAAGTCCAGTCTCAGCCATTTACTAATAAAACCCTGTCTCAAAATTTAAAAATACCTATAAAAGGCTGGACAATTTAACAACTTGGTGAGAATCTGCCTCAAAATTAAAAAAAGGCTGAGGATATAGCTTAGTGTAAAGTCCCTGTGTATAAGACCCAGTATCAAGCAAAATCAAGCAAAATCAACAAAAACACAACACTGGGGTACGTAATGCAAAATGAAGAATAAGTTTATTTCTAACCCTAAGTGAACATATACTGAAAACTTATTCTGCCAACTACTGGAAGTGTTTTACATGTATTAGCTCTTGCATTCTTTTCAGGAAACCTAAGGTAGGCATTAATATAATTCTTATTGTATTAATAAAGAAAATTATGCTACAAAATAATTTGCCCAAGGTTAGACAGTGATTGGTAGAATGTTTTAAATCTGTATAACTGAACTACATTATAAGAGTTAATTACAGAAAAAGAACTGTAATCATGTTGAGAAGAAAACAAATGAGGGTTTAGGAACTATGAGAACAGAAATAAAGCCAGGACTTGGATGAAACAGGTAATGTGAGGAGCCAGGGTAGAGAGAAGCATCCTTCTCTACAACAGCTGAGCAAAGAGTAAGAGCTGTGGGTAGAAGGAAAGGAAGGTACGCTGGGGAATTTGATGATGTTACAGCAAGAGCAGCCAATCACTTACAAAGGTGTGAAGTTTTTAAGAGGTGCTTCCTAAGAGGTATTTCAAAAGTGCATGTCCCTCACTGACCAACTGGGATACCAATTCCAAGGACTCCCATCTAATTTTCTCTCACTTACCTGGATAGCTCCAATGTAGATTTTCTTCCTCCTCTGGCCACGGCTCTTGTCCTTGTTCTGTCTTGAGGATCAGTTCTGGTTTAGTAACTGGAGACCCTGTTCATGGGAAGACAACACACAAGACAGACAAAGTGCTAGGGACAAATGACTACCTCACAACACAAGCCTGCTTCCTTAAATCTCAGAGCCTTGACAAACAGACTCTAGAACAAAGCCCCTTCTCCAACGGGTGGTAGAACCATAAAAGGACCACTTGATTCTGAAAGGGGATTGGGAATCTTTGACCACTGAAATTCAGGGTCAAATGTTCAGTTTTCACAAGTCTGGAAGGGCACCGATTGGTACATTCCAAGTTACACTGAAAAGTTACCACCCACTGTCCTTACCCACTGAAATGAGATTTCTATAGTTGTCCAACATCACATCCCAATACATCATTCTCTGATCACAGTCAAGCAGTTGCCACTCCTCTGGGGTGAAGTCCACAGCCACATCCCGAAATGTCACTGATTCCTGTAATAGTACATTCATCGTCAAATTAATGCATGCATTATTAGGGACTTACAAGAGAATCATCACACTTATTACATGTTCACTCCTGAGTTTGGGGAAAGGTTTTTTTTTGTTTTGTTTTGTTTTGTTTTGTTTTGTCTTTTTCCTTTTTATCGGTACCAGGGATGGAACTCAAGACTGCCTGCCTTCAAGGCAGGTGCTTATGCCGCTGAGCTAAATCTCCAGCCCCTGAGTTTGGGGAAAGTTATGTGCAGTAACTACTATATAACTGATTCAGAAATATACTTTGCACACAAATCAGATAGATGAAAAATATCCAACCAATGTCAGAAAAATTCAATAGGAAAAAGAGTTATTTCAACAAATGGTGTTGAGACATGTAGACAGCCAGACATAAAAGAATGTGGTGAACTCCTATCCACCAGATATCACAAACAAAAATAAACTAAGATGGATTGGAGACTTAAAGATGAGAACTAAAACTGTTAAATTCTTAGAAGACAACATAGGAGAAAATCTTTATGACTATCGCTAGGCAGTGGTTTCTTAAATATAATAGAAAAAGTGTAAGTGATAAAAGAAAAAATGTTGCAATTCATAAAAATTAAACACTTTTGTGCATCATAGGACAAAAATGAAAAGAAAAAGAATAGGAAAAATATTTATAAACATGTATCTAGTAAGAAACTTACACCTAGAACAAAGCACTCCTAAAATTTAACAGTAACAGCCAATTGTGGTAACACACCCTGTAATGCTAGCACTGGGGAAACTGAGGCAGAAGTATCACAAGTTTGAGATGAGCCTGGGGTGAGTTCAAGGCCAACCTGAACTACAGCGAGATTGTCTCAAAAACAAAAACAATAAAAAGATAATTTAAAAATAGCCAAAGGATTTGAATAGTTTCTCCAATATATGTAATAAAAAGACATGAAATGATGCTCAATATCATTAGTCACTAGTGAAATACAAATCAAAACCACAGTGAGATGTAGCACTTGACACTAACAAGGATCTGAAAATCAAAGAAGCACAATGAAAGGGTTACTAAGATTGTGGAGAAAATATAATTCTTGTATATCTTGGGTGGTACTGCAAAATGTAGCAACTCTGGAAAATAGTTTGGTAGTTTCTCAAAATGTCAACCATTAAGTTAACACATGACCCTGCAATTTCACGAGAATCAAAGCAAATATCCACACAAAATCCTGTACACACATGCTCTTAGCAGAATTACTGGTTTTAGTCCAAAAATGGAAAAAATTTAGCATCCATTTACTGACAAAAGGATAAACAAAATGTAACATTTCCATAGGACAAGATATTATTACTCAGTAATAAAAAAGAATGAAGCACGGATACATTTTGTTTTGTGTTTTTTTTGTGGTACTGGGGATTGAACTCACAACCTCACACTTGCCAGGCAGGCGCTTATGCTGCTGAGCTAAATCCCCAGCCCCGAAGCACGGATACATTTACAACATGGATGATGTGTTCGCTTTGGTACCATATGCAACATGGATGAACCTTGAAAATACTATGCTGGGTGAAAAATCCATTCAAAAAAATCCTGTATTATATGATTCCATTTACATACAATATACAGAAGAAAGCAGTAGATTAGAGCTGGGGAAAGGAGAAACAGGGAGTCACTGACTTTTAATGGGTATGGAAGTTTCCTTGAGGGATGATCTGAAATTAGACAGTAGTGATTCCTACAGAAGGGTATGAATAATAATAAACGCCCAAGGGAGAGGGGAAGGGGAAAGGAAAGAAGGGAAAAGGAAAGGAAAAAAGTCAAAAGAAGGAAAACAGGGAAATAAAGCTTTTGTAAATGGAGAGGTGTAAGGGCTGATTCACTGACACCAGAAGTTCAAGTTTAACTTAGTGACTCAGCAGTTTACATCCTAGGGTGCAGAGGATCTGCCTTTACACAGTATAAGGAGGAGGAAAGGGGGCGGAAGGAGGGTAGGGCAAAGGAGAAAACACAAAACAAAAAAAGCTATATCATGTACAGATACAAATTCTCTGATGAGTGTATCAATAAAATCTGATAACAAATGTATAAAAGCCACTTGATTGTGTACATTTGAATTGGGTCACTTTTTTTGTTGGTATCGGAGATCAAAGTCACAACATTGCCATTGCCAGGCTCCGGCCAGGGTCACTTTTATAATATGTGAATTGTATTTTAATAAAGCTATTTTAAAATATGACATGTTCTTAGTCATTCATTCATAAAACATTTAATGAATCCCAGCAGGCTGTATTAATATCAAAAGGAATAAAATTACTCCCTCGGAGATTTTCTAATCTATTAGGTTCTACATAGTACAACAGGATGTTAGTAAAGCTTTAAGATTTACATGCTAAACTCACATAGGATTGGAAAACATTGATTTTTTTTTAACATGATAAAAAAAGCCCTTTTAACCAAAACGCCAAAATCATGTGTGACAGGTAAAAATTAAAAGCACTAGAATTAGGGGTTCAGTTGTGGATCTACTTGTCTACGGTACACAAGGCCCTAGATTTATCCCTCGAACAGCAACAAAAACCAAAAAGCAAAACAAAAAGTAATAAACAAAGGCACATAACTGTGCATCTACCACAAAACAGATCATTAAACTGGCCACGGTGGTCGCACACCTGTAATCCCAGTACTCCGGAGACTGAGGCAGGAGGAGTGCCCCAAGTTCAGGGCCAGCCTGAGCTACACAGTGAGTTCAAGGCCAGCCTGGACTACACAGTGAAACCCTAGCTAAAGAAAAAAAGACAGAAAAAAGAAATAGAGAAGACTTCTTACTCCCAAATTAATCTTTATTTTCCCCCCAGGGATTAAAGGAGATATACATATATTTGTTTTATTTTATTTCCCCAAATCCACTTGATTTCAAGGAGAAAAAGAAAAAAAACTAATAATTTCAAAACTTGTTAATCTGGGTAACCAAATTAATCTTTAAATTTACCTAACACTCTGCTTTATGGTGCTGGAAAATATTCTTTGAATGCAATGACCTTAAAATGGATATTGAGAAAATGTTCAACATAGCTAGAGAACTGAAAAAATACAGATCATATGGAACATTAAAAAGTCCATGTACTTGGACAGATAAATTGAGCTCACTTAACATCATTTGACACTGGGCTCTCTGCTTACTCCAGAAAACACTCTAAGATAAAGTCATAGGAACTGGGTATGGTGGCGCATGCCTGTAATCTAGGGAAGCAGAGGCAAAAGGATCACCACAAGTTCAAGGCTAGTAGGTGTTACATAATGAGTTCAAGACCAGCCTGAACTACATAGCAAGACTCTGTCTCTAAAAAACAAAAATGAACAAGCAATAGTCATGGGACACTTGATATAGATATCATAGCTATGAATGTTCTTTCTTTTTTTTTTTTTTTGTCTTTTTCCTTTTTATCGGTACCAGGGATCGAACTCACAACTGCCTGCTTGCAAGGCAGGTGCTTATGCCGCTGAGCTAAATCCCCAGCCCCTATGAATGTTATTTCTAACAGTACCTATATAACAACCCATTAGAAGAAATTTTCTTCAGAGAAATATGCCAGGAAAAAAAATTTTACTTATTTGAGCAATTATTTTGCTTTATCCTCACACACAATGCCAATACGTTAGTTGATTATCCATTTAATATGTCTTTCAGGAAGATTGAAAAAATATATATATATGTACCAGGAATCAAACTCAGGACCTTGAGCTTGCCAGGCAGGTGCTTGTGCCATGAAGCTATATCACCAACCCCTGGCAATTTATTCCAATTATATGTAAACCACACAACATTACATCATCTTATTTCCTAAACTTCCACTTGAACCTGACCTTCTATTCAACTAAACTTAGGTCCCTAACTCTATATTTTCTTTTCCTTATATGGATTTTCAGGAAATTTAAATGAATATATAGATGCCTTACCTGAAAGTTGATCATTTCCTGCAGTTTTGAGACACAAACCTATGAAAGTAAAAATAGGGAGAATAGAAAGACATGGGACACCAAGACTGTAACATAAAACTATTCCACCAAATGAGAAGTAGCCTACCAGACCACTGCAGCCTCAGAAATGGGATAAAGGTATTTCTATGAAGTCAAAAACATTCGTGTTCCACATATATACAACAACTCTACTGGGATTCTGTTAGGAATATGCAGAACTTAAACACTTTTTCTCATTTCACAACTCTTAAGGCCAAGCTGTGAAACTTTAAACCAGTGATTTTTCTCTCTTGTATAAATTTATCCCAAAGAACTAATAAATGAGTTCAAAGACTAAAACCCTGGGTTTCCAAAGCTCTCGGTATGTGTATCTAGAAATTATTTTCTTCCTGTGATTCTCTGCTCTACGGACTGAAGCTGGTGCAACAGATCTTGAATTAGATTGAGATTTTAGTAAATTGCTTAGGCTATCTTGAACTTCTGGGCTCAAATGATCTGACTGTCTCAGCCTCTTAAGGCATGCAGCTGCTTCCAGCAGCCAAGGCTCAGCTTTCTTTACAAGGCTATATTCACAAATGCAGGTTCATCTGTTAGTCCACCCATTCGTTCACGGTAAAGCTGGAGCATTCAGTTTAGAAGCCAAATCTTTCTCTGTGGGTCTACATCATCTATGAACTGGAATTTCTGAAATTCTAATCAACACTGCTAAAACTGGCAAACAGGAGTCACTGCTTCGTTTATAGCATTCATGGGAAGAGCGGCAAATACAAGACTACATAAAATGACTCATAAAATGACTACAAATCAAAATTTACCCAGTATTCATTATTCAAATATTTCAAAAGGGGAGTACACACCTGTATTAGTTACCTTTCCAGAGAAACACAGCCTAAACGAAAAAAAGTTTATTTTGCTCACAGTTTTACAAGTTTCAATGCATGGTTGGTAGGTTCCAGCAGAGTAACAAGGAAAGAGCAAGAAAGGGGCCAAAAATCAGAAATAGGGTCACACACCCAAGTCCCAGGTAGTCACACCCAAGAGTGGTCTTTACTAATCTAGATATTTCTCAAACCAATCAGTTGACAATAACCACAACACCCAACTCTGTGCTACGCAGGAGTGCTATGTTGTAAAACTGGAATGATGTTTGTAAAATAACACATATGGGTTGGAATCTTCGGTCTTAAAACTGCAAAATTGTGCGAGCCTAGGCAAGTAATTTCACCTCTTTCTGCTTCAGGTTCCTCATACGCAAAATCGTGAGGGAATTTAAGTAATTCTACAGATGATTATCTTAAGAATGCATAGTTTCTCTAGAAATGCCTTCTTCCCAGATCCCTTGAATTGACTTTCAAGTTTCTGTACCAACAAGGGTCACTTGAATGCAAACTTCTACTCCGAGGCCCTTACCTACAAGAGCAGGAATGCAAAATGGGCTAGTCCCAGTCACACCCAAGTTTAAGTACGTACCTAGTGCCAGCCGGAGTTCTACTGTTTTCTCTGAATTACTCAGGTTGGACAAAACCAACACACCCAAACGCACTTGGGGTGAAAGCACTTGGGGGCTGTACAGTTTAATCTTCTGTAGGGGAAACCCGCAAACTGGCCCTCTTCGTTCTTCCCGTACTTTCTTCATGTCCCCCGAGTCCTGCAAAGCCATGCCATACCTGCCACCTTTTCACCGCCGCGTCCTCGGCTCTAAAACCAGGATCAGGTTACAGCGCACTACAGACACTAGAGAGGCGACCCCAAGGCATGCTGCACGCAGCGCCAGCAGCTCACTGAATACCGGGTACAGCCCCACTGCGCCTGTGCGGAAGTATCTGCTCGCCTACAGTTCCCAGGATCCTTCGGGGTGTAGGCTGTCTCTCCAAGAGCACATTTTCCATAAGGCCCGTGCAGCTTATTCCCGGAAAACCTCCGGTAGTTCTTCCCCTTTAGAGCGCTAGTACGGAGTTGCTATCCCAAGGGTTGTACCTTGCCAAGTTCGTTTTTAAAGCGGATTGTATATACCGTATCATTTCATTAAAAAAATAAAAATAGACTTTAGAATTTTAAATAATGGAAATTCTAAGTTAGCAGTATGCTAAAATTTGGTGCACAGTCATAATGTAGAAACGCATTCATGCGATGGTAAATTTATAGCTATTTCTAGGACTTTGACCAAGTTTCTGTTGTGCTGTCTCTGGTAAATTCAGTTGACCCTGACAACGTCAGAGCAATTGTCTATACCGTAAGGCACCTTGGGCAGACCTGTGTTCATTCAGTGAAAGCTCTCTCTCTCTCGGGGACAATTCCTCTATTATGGTAATGCCCTTAAGTATACTCATTCTGGAAGTGCCCCCTCCCCTGATTCCTGGAATGTTTCTATTGTTTCAAAGTAGCCTATCTGTCAATATATAATTCAATATGTAATCAATGTATGTAACCAGTTATGTAATGTTTGGTCACTTGCTTTGTACCTCCCACTTCTAATTTTATATAAACTAAAACTCCTTCCCGACTCAGTTGGTTGCTTGGGAGGAATTTGAAATGATTTTGCCCTGAATGGGGAAGCTGCAGCGGTGGGAGGCTGGGAGGCGGAACCAAGGGGCTGTCTTGAGGTCACCTTTCCCCCTCTAGGCAATTTACCTGTGGGGAAAAGTGAATTCCAATGGGCTACCTGTGCATCCCTAATGCCCCTTAGGTTCACCTCAAACCTAAGCTATATGTATGCTCCCACACCACGTGTCCGGCAGAGAGAAAGCCAGACCCTGGAGGTCATGGAGTCTCTCTCCACATTCTTAAAATAAAGGCCACTTTTATTTCATATTTCTTATCTTTTTAGCCACGCCGAAAATTGTATCAGTTCTGTTTTGGCAGAGTGGTGGAAGTCTGATAAGTTCTGAAGAGTGTTTGGTAAAAATCGCAGGGAAAAATGGAAAAAGAGGAAGTAAAGCAAATAATACAATACAAACAATTCTTTTTTTTTCTTAGTACATTTTAGATATACTTGATAACGTTCCTTATAGGGAATTTGTATCTGTACATGGTATTTCTTTTTTATCTGTTAAACCTTATGTACAAAAACTTTTCCTCTCCCTTCTCTCCTTATTTACAAAAACTTTGTTTCCATTTTTTCTTCTATTCTCTCTCTCTCTCTCTCTCTCTCTCTCTCTCTCTGTTCCTTCCATGCCTTCCCCCCACTGCCTCCCTTGTTCCCTTCTCATTTGAACTTTTTCTTTCTGTTTCCCAATGTCTATTTTACATTTTGTCCTAATTCACACTTTCAGTTTCTCACACCAGAAAATAATGCAGTATTTAAACGTGTGTCAAATTTATCTCACTTAAAAGTATATTCTCAAGGTGCGTTCATTTACCTAGAAATGTCTCAATATTATCCTTTTTGGTATATTATATATATATATGTATATGTATATTTCCTATATAGCATCTTCTATATCCATTCATTGGTTGATGGGAATTTAGGCTGTTTCCAAGATTTAGCTATTATAAATGTAGATGTGCATGTATCAATATAATATGATGTTCTCAGTTCTTTCAAGGAGATGCCAAAAAGGGGAATAGCTGGGTCGAATGGAATCTCTAGTCCTAGTTTTTTGAGGAATCTCCACACTGATTTCCACAAGGGTTGCACCAACCTACATTCACAGAAACAGTGGAAAAGGCGACCTTTTTTCCAAGCCCTGCCAACATTTGTTATTGGTTGATTTCTTGATAGCCATTCTTTCTGGAGTGAGATGGACTTTCAGCATTGTTTTAATTTGCATCTTTCAAATAACCAGTGATATCGAGGGCTGGGGATTTAGCTCAGTGGCATAAGCTCCTGCCTTGCAAGCAGGCAATGGTGAGTTTGATTCCTGGTACCAATAAAAACGAAAAAGACAAAAAACAAACAAACAGTGATAGTTAACATTTTTTCATATATTTACTTACTGTTTCTATTTCTTTATCTGAAAAGTATGTATTCATCTCAGATGCCCATTTTTGGACTGGGTCTTTAAATTTGGAGGTCTGATTTCTTTTTAATTCTTTATATATTCTAGATATTAACATGGGCTGTCTCTTCACTGTTGGTTGTTTTCCTTACTATGAAAAAGTTTTTTATTTATTAACTAATTTATTGATACCGGGAATCAAACTCATGACCTTGTACATGCTAGACAGGCATTATGCCACTGAGCTATATATCCCGCCCCTGCAAAATGTTTAGATGAGATTTGAGATGCTGGTTCTTTTTGAAAGTTCCTGTGACACTAAAATTTTGATCATAAAATCTTAGCCTACATCAGCGTCTTCAAGAATTCTACCTGTTAGGGGCTGGGGATTTAGCTCAGCGGCATAAGCACCTGCCTTGTAAGCAGGTGGTAGTGAGTTCAATCCCCGGTACTGATAAAAAGAAGAAAAAAAAAAGAGAATTCTACCTGTTCTATCTTCCAGGAAATTTAATATTTCTGTTTTAATATTTAGATCTTTGATACATTTTAATTTTTTAAAAGTAAGTTAATGGGTACATTTTAGATATATCTAATGGTCATATTCATCATACGAATCTGTACCTGTACATATTTTGAGTTCTCTATTTTTCTCAGTCCCCTCTCCTTCATTCCCTCCTCCCTGCCCTATTTACAAAACTTTGTTTCCATTTTATCCTTTTAAAAAATATTTTCCCCTTTATCCATTCTTCCTTTTCCCCTTCCCCTGCCCTTGTTCTTCTTTCCTTTTGAGCAGTTTCTACCTATTTCACAATGAGCAGTTTCTTCTTCCCTTTTGAAAAAATTTTGCACAATCTATTGCACATTTTGGTCTTTATTTACTCTTTCAACTTCTCACATTAGGGGCACAATGTGATATTTACACATGTGAGTCCAATTTATTTCACTTAAGAATATGATCTCAAATTGCATCCATTTACCTATAAATGCCTCAAACTTACTCTTCTTTATCACCAAGTAATACTCCATTATATAAGAAAGGAACGTCTTCTTTATCCATCCCTTAGTTGATGGGCATTTGGG